ATGAAAGTCGAATGAGAAACAATGCTGAGCATATTTTTGAGTCCGTAAGAGTAGTAAAGGTTTTTTACGAGACGTTTTTCAAAATTTATACCTTAAATGCGGTACTTTTAGTTCTATCTAACGTTTAATTTTGATCATACTACAAATATGTTGAATCGTAAGAATTAACAAATAAGTTCTTAAAATCATTGTAACAAATCACTTAGTTGAAGAATAAATTTCAGCGTTCTTTCAAAGTTTTATATGGTTTATGCTTTAAACAAAAAAAAGTAAATAAATGTGCGCATATGATTTCACTAGTCGATACCGGTATCATATTCAGGGAAATTTGAAATTTCTAGAGATTTTAATATTGATCACTTTCGATATAAAATTTTTATATTTTGGTCGCTGCTATTAAACGGATATTGATCAAATTAATTCGTTGTATGTATTTTTCAAGAAATTCGAGTCGAATTTTATCAAAATAATAAGTCATAGTCTATAATTAGTCCTTATAATGTTAAAATAAATTCCATATATATATTCTTCTTGAAAACTTGCTGCAGGTGTCGGAAAGAATTAAAACTAGAGTTTCAGTGTCGAGTAATGGTGTATGATAAAGTTGATCAGAAAGTTGGAATAAACCACTATTACACTTACCTTGGCTGATAATTTTACATGAAATATATTGACCTAATCATTTTGATATTAAATTATCCAATATTCAATTTTACTTTCGAAAAAACAAACATTCGTATATATTATGCCTCTATTTATTTCGCATTAAAAAGCACAATTCATTCTTCTTGCAAAGAACGCAATAGAATCATGTTTTTGTCGAATATTGAATGATTAGATAGAAAAATAATAAGATCAACAATTTCTGGCAACTCTCAGTGAATTTTGAAATGTTCAACAAACTATGTAAAATTAGGTCTCCCCGATACATTCGCCAGAACTTTAAAAAAATTATTACATAAAATAATAGTAACAATCGTTTATATGAATTTTCTGATTGACTTCTTCGTATATCATTCTTTAACGGTGTAAATCAGTAGGCAGTATAAAAATAGATGAAAATCCTTTAAATTCCTTCAAAGTTCTGTTACTGGATTTCAAGAGGATTCTAAAGATTTAGTTGAGTTCAAAATTAGAATGGATAATTAAAGCTGTGGTTAATTATTGCAATAAAGATTTGGCTTGAATCTCTTACAAAACACATAAAACTGCAAACTCTATAAGTTTCAGTGAATTTGCATGAGGTGATAGGATTAACTGGCAAAATTTCGATAAATACATTTTAAAACATCTATCCAAAACTTAAGACAAGATGATTTGTTTTTCGTTAAATTGTAACTCATTTAATGCAAGCATTATTTTCTTTGTCATTATCAACTTTGAAAAAACTGTTGTTCGAAACATGACGTACTTAAGCTATATTATTAGTTTATCATCTTATTTATTTTCGTCTCTTTATCTATGTCGTTGATCTGCTAGTAGTTTTATTTCTTTTTTAATGTTCACTTGATAAAGAAAACAAATTTTCGGAACTTAATACTGATAAATTTTAATCTACAAAGAAGAATTAATTGGTTTTCCTGAAATCTACTTCAAACTATTATTTCATTAAAATTAAGATGATGTTTCGTTGCTACGAATCGTAGAAGATTGTTCTCGCAGAACGCTAAACTCAACGCAATTCTAAAGATACACAATTTAACTACATATGTATATACCTGTCATCATAAAGTAAGTTTACAAGTCTCAAATAAAGCAAAGCTAGGACTTGTACTTTTAAAATTGCATGTTTCGAAGTGAAGTCTCTCTATAGAAATGAAAACTCTTATTACCTGTTTTATTCACCTGTGTACTTTTAAAGAAATTATGAAATAAAACTTTTTCTAGAAATAAGTCGTTATTGGATTTATTTTTTTTTCTTTTCCTTCAGAGAGCGAAAAACAAAAAGTCAATTTTCTCTTCTATGCATGGAGCTGTTTTGAAAATGTAAATATAAATACAATAATAAGGCTCTTCAGTCATTCAACGGTAGATCGAGAAATTTCTTTGTGCACCAGCAAAGTTTTCATGTCATTTCGGATCATATCTTCCCGGTGAAAAGTGCGTAAACATGTTAAATCTGACTGTCACCATGATAAATGTAGCATCGAGCGTCTTTTAGCTTCCATTAGATGCGTCAGATCTCAGCTCGTAATATTTTCGCTATTATGCTTTCATAAACGAGGATATTGCGTGCGATGTGACTATGACGTCAAAAAATCGATTTTAGGAACTTTTCTCGTTACTCACATTACAGTGTTAATAAGATATTAAAAAAAACTTGATGTATTAAAATTGAAGTTTGAAAGATTTTCGTTCTCTATCAACAAGTATTTTGTTGAAAGCAACGACTTAAAAAAAGTGCATTTGGCATCAGTCGAATTTTTAAGAATTACACAAAAAAACTAATTTTACCTGAAAGATACAACCTGTTTATTCAAGTTTAGATTACTCAACAATTAAAAGAAACGAATTCTCGAAATGAAATATGACTTCGTTTCAAAGAAAGCAAACTTTAAATGAATACACCTTGATTATACAAGAATGACTGGTAAGACCATAGTGGACAGTATTCTTTTGTCTTATTCTGATTAGATGAGACATTCTTACATTTCTCTGTATTCAAATGAGCATATGAAAGAAGAAAATAAAAAGATTACAAAGAAAACAAAAATAGTAGTAAGCAATCGATAAGCATTCAGTTAAAATAAAAACAATAATCAACGATAAACATAGAATAAGAATGTGAAAGTAGTTAACTTAGAACAAACAACATGAACATGATACGTTGTGCACAACAAATCATAAAGTAAAAAGATATGTAATTTAACTTGATAACTAAAGAATAATAATACTTAAACGATCTATTGCATTATTTTCTCTTCCACCAACAATAGTTAAATGCATAGTTTTATTTTGAATAGTTTTCGTAGATGTTTTTCTTTTATTTCTTTTTCTTTCAATCTTTTGATTGTGTTCTCTTTTTAAAAAGTACGAAATAAAAGCAATTGATTTTACGTCTATGTTGCCGATCAATGTTTAGAGAAGAGTCAGTCAATAAAACGGATCAATTCCAGGCAAAAAATAACATCTGCATAAATAATATAAACACTGGTCGGCATGGTCGCGCGTTGCGGAATTTCGTTTTTTCGTATTGCGACACCTGTAGTTTCTGAAAAATAAAAGCAAACTTACTGAAATTTTTGTCATTGGTAGAGATGGCTAAGATCTACTGCCAGTAAAAATTTCATCTATTTCTGTCTAGCCATAGCTGAGTTATTCAACAAATATTGACCGTTACGGAATTTCAAAAAATGGAAATTGTTTTTAGGGTGACCTGGGGGATTGGCATTTTACTACATAACAAAACGAGATACAAATAAACGCTCTATATAAATATTATTCAGTTTTCCATGAGCTTTCAAAATATCAATTCATTTCCTAGAAAGCATAACTGCACCAAATAAAAAACCTGTAAATACTGTCCGTTACTGAATTTCACTATTTTTTGACTTTCTAATGGGGATGGTTAAGAACCTCAAAGCTTTCAGTTATCACGATGAAAACTCATCATTTTTCGTATCCGCGAACAGTACAGAGATAGTTCTGTCATGCAAGTATGTCAGTTTCACCTTCAAAGTAGAATGACATTAAAATTCTGCCTGCTTTTTGGGCAAAAAATGAAATATAATGGGTCTCAAAACGGATTGTTTTTTGACGAAATTCGTCAAAAAATCCTTTTTCAGCCACTTATCGGAGGAAAAATACGGTTTATATAACTAATCAACAATGTATCTCAGAGGTTGCAACGTGTTTCATAATCTGTCAGTAGTGAAATTTTGGATTTGGAGAGAGTTTTCTTTATTTTTAGTGCCTATAAACCTTCCCCATGCCGGGGTGACCGATGCGCGGCCATGCCGTGATACAAATTAATTCAACAGTCTTTGTCGCGTACCTCAATATTTGATAGGAGAAAAAAGTTGTGGTTGTCGACTATTTGATCTTGGGCTCCTTGGTAGGTAGTAGCACGTACGTGTGAGTTTATGTGTATGGCATTAGCTGTGGGTGTTGGTGTGTGGGGATGGGATGGGGATGGGGATGGGGATGGCTCATTGCAAGTATGGTTATCGGTGTGGGTGTTGGTATCGATGTCATATCAGATGAAATTATTATACGTATCTATTTTTTGCATGCGATGAATTGAGAGATTCGTCTTCGAAGTAGGGTGTGGGTGTAGATGAATATAAAACTCACACCCAGCACCCACATTCCACACCCAGGGGGGAAAAGCTATGCCTGACGGATCCTAGGATCCATCAGGAACCATAGGATCCACGGGGATCCAGTAGGAATCATAGGATCCACGAGGATCCAGTGGGATCCATCAGAATCTGTAGGATCTATTGGAATCCAATAGAATGTATCAAAGTCTACTAATATTTATGAGTATAAATTTTGTTTTAAACAATATATACAAATAAAACATATCAGCTAGATTCATATTATTAGCATATATATATAAATCATGCACTAGAAAAATTGCATTGGTTATTACTTAATGCATTCATAACTCTGACTTATGTATTTTATATTTTCCAATCCCCGATCACTTAGAAGAAAAATTATCACTTTTTAGCATGTGGGAAAAGAACCATCGACACATTCAGTCGTGCATATTGCTACATGACTGTCCATGAACATCAGTAATTTTGAAAAGATTCTATGAGTTCTTTAATATATAGATGAGATTAGCAGAGAGAATACTATCTTATGTTTTTTCTACAGTAATTTTTGTCTGGTTATTCACCAGTTCTTGGAATTGAATTGAAAGTTTCAAATAATTTACTAAATGATCTATGTCCTGTGGCAAATCGCCTAGAAATGTAAGTCTACTATTATTAAGTGCATTTTATTCGAATATATAGATATAATTAAACAAAAAAAAATGCAGTCGAACCTAATTATTTCTGTTTATTTATTTGTTGAACTCGTGATAATCTATCAGATGACAAACAGTTTTTATTAGTAGTCAATAGACGTACAGCTGTTTGTTTGTGTAAATATTTTGATTTATTATTAATCGTAATATGAAAATAATTATCCTGTTTTGATGGATCAATTTTATCAAATATTTTCATCCCTTGGAAGGCTTCTTTTGAAGTTGTAAAATGATAATCATCAGAATTATCTTCATCTGAATCATAGCAATCAACCTCTAAATTTGTTTCAGAATTTTCAATATCACTTTGAATATTATTAGTATCATCTAAACTATCTTGAAGTTCAACTTCATTGAAATAACAAAAATCAACTGTCGATTTTAGATCAAGTTGATGAAAAACAAATGAATTTAATTTTGTAATATGATTTAAATTATTTTCTTTTAGTTTTTTTAATAACTGTAAAGAATCCATAATCTATTCTGCTTGATAGTAAGCTTTGATGATTATCTTTTCTATATTATCTATTGTTATTGATGATGAATTTAAACTAATTTTAGACGAGGTTCTTTCTTTGTGTCGATTTATATGATGAATTATAAATTTTAATGGATATTCAACATTATCCGCTTCTTCTGTGGATTTTACATGATTTAATATTGAAATTTTTTCAATTTTGTTTAAAAACTGAGATACTGAAAAATTTGTGATTGACGAAATAGTACCAGATAAAGCACGAGCACTATGAAATGTAGTCTCGCATCGTTGACTACTAAATAGATATGTATTAAGAGAATAAGATGGTAAATTTCCTTGTGATACTAATATTATTAATGCTGTTAAACAATGTATATTAATCTCTACTGATAACCATGCAGCTTTAGTAATAAAACAATTATCTTTTTCTTGTTGAGAATAATTTTTTTTTAGTTGAAGACTAGACCTAGCAATCAATAGTGAAATGATTAAAAACGTAATAGAAAAATCCTTTTTCTTTTACAACCACATTCGATATGAAAATGTAACAATCCAACCGTAATATAAGCGTACGAGGATATCAGTATCTGCTTTAATATATGTAACAATAACTAATTTTGACAAGTATAAGTAAATATAAGTGCCTTTAGCATTCATTTCTTTCAATAAATTCAACACGTTGTCAGGCGTTATTTTCAAACAAGAAGAAAAGTCTTGTCTATCATGAGGAATAACATCCGACTTGACTAAATTATGATCAATTTTGGAATAATTTTCAATTATATAAAATAAATCATTTACATGGATCTGATGACTATTAATAGACAATGTTGCTATAGTTGATAAAAGCCGGTTTCTAATCTTTGCAGTAAGATGGATCCCATCTTGCATGCAAAGATACATTTGCCTTGTTCTCATAAAATAAAGTCCATGTTGGTGGAATATTAATTTGAAATAAATTTTTATTTTTACGTAATAAATCAATATTTGATGTGTGTGTAAAAAAGCCTAATGATATTTGCATAGCTTTAAGATAGCATGCTTCACAATCACTTGCAAAACCGACAACAATAATATTTCTTTTTTTGCATTCATTATACATATATATCCATTTACGAAGAACATCTATACCTATATATTTATTATTAGTTTCGTAAGCGGAAATGATATATGGTCTCGAATGTATTGAAGAAGAATTATTAGTTAATAATGGTTCAACTAAATTTGCATTTATTAATGTAGACTTGTCAAAATCTTCGAACCATTGTTGTAACTCATTATAATTATTTGTTTGAAATTGATTTATAATAGGTAAACCATTTACCAATTGTGGTGAAAAACCACTATATGAATTAGTTTTAGTATCGTAAGATACTGAACTCACAACACTAGTTGGATCTTCACACTACATAAAGAAAATACGTAATTAAATCTTATAATTAATATTTATAGAAGAAATAAATCTCAATCAATTCTGATGTATTCTAGTGGATATTGATCAGTCTTAAAATGAATGAAACAAAATGCACTAATATTTACTGGAATTTTCTTGAGTCTAACGAAGTCAGCTGAATTCTACTATGTTTTGGAATCTAAATGATGACTGATTTTCTTTTCTTGATCATATTCTCAAATGCTCATAAATTCTGATCAATTCATCTTGATTTTAACAAAATAAATTAAAGCCACCTATTCCTTTTAGCTGTTATATTATTTCAAAATACTTACCATAAATACATGATTAGAATAAATTAAATCTAAATAACTCTTTAAAGAATCAAATCTGAATTCACCTTCATTTAAATGTAAATTGATATTTTGATTATAATTTTTTAATGTAGTAACAGATGGTAAAGAACCTGATAAATTTATTCTGAAAAAATCGTAAGCATTGTGTCCAGTTAATATATTGAAAATTGATGCAATTTGTTGAGATGTCGATATGAATCAATCAAAGTAAGAAAAAGTTGCTAACTACGTATTCGGGCCAGAAGATAAAATGTATGCGTAAGATTTAATCATCAATCATTATCACCATCATTGTTGAATATGTTTTTCGCGTTCATCCAAGAGCAATTATTCATCATTTTTATCTCCATGAGTTATGAGGAAAAAATAATCCGTTCAAAGAACACAACGAAAAAGTAATTTCATCATATTTAAAAACGAAAGAGAAGGGCAGTAACACGGTTATGGTGCAATTACTTTTATGAGACAATAGTTACTCTTTAAATGAGATATTTCGTAATTTCATTTCGGCAGACTTATGCAGACAAAAAATTGTAAAGAACTGCTAGTGGATGGATTCGAACCATCAATTCTCGGATTAAGCACATGTATTACAGAGTTTGGCATTGAGAGTTAATGTATATTTTTATCTAAATACTGATACCAAGCTTCATCCCCGACATCAAAACCTATTAGTATATTGCAATGTTATTTCTTGTATTGATTTGCAAACATGTTCTATCATTCGTCCTATCTCATCTGTTAGTTCATGTCTAAATTCAATCGAAACTAAGTCCACAGATTAATAGAAAGCTAACATGTCATCAAGAATATTCCTAAAACTCTGTCAACACTTGTGCCTTTGTGGCGTAAATGGCTAACGCATCCGGCTCTTAACCGGAGGATTGACGGTTGCATATTGTTCATCAATAACGATTCTCGATGGTTCTTTTCGTCATCGATAGGGTAGAAAGCAATGATACATTGTTCTCCTCATTCTTGAATTATCTATTCGAGTCCGTCCAAGGGCAGTTCTCAATTTTTTTTCGTGAGTAATGATGAAATACTTCATTGAGATAACGAACCAAACTAGAAATTCCATCATATATGCATTAGTGCTTCCCTTTTCCCGTCAAATATTATGGTTGTAACATTCTGACAAACGTATATATAATAAGAAAATATTCGTAGATTGATTGAAAGAAAAATTCTTGGATTAATGAAAATCATGGCGGATGATTAAGTCTTATTAAGAAGGACGATCAAGAATAGCAATCAATGAACAAAATCAAACCATCAATTCTCGTATTAAAAGTCAAATACGTTATCATTTACACAACAAGAGTACGAATGCTCACAGAATTTGTTTTTGAAATATATTCAAGCAGGCAACATTCTAATCCTATCGCTTTTTTTATTACAAAGCTATTATAAAACAAAAACAATTGGCTGAAATATTGCCTTGAAAAGAGTTTCAGAATCACGTCATCAATGCAGTTTTTGAGCTTAGGGGTGGCGGCTTAATATTAGTGTTAAGAAAATGCTAATACTTTTGTATTAAAATAAATAATTCATTTAATACTTTTGCGTTAGTGTTAAAAAAATAATTTATTGTTTTGGTATTAGTGTTAATTTTGTATTAAGAAAATGCTAATACCTATCATGTTTGTGCAATTCGTTTATAGAAGTGTCATTGTAGTTTTATCGCCAGCTTCTCTATAGTTAGATTTGCTTTGTAACATTTCTATACAGGGAAAATGTCATGTATGCACCAGGATGACATCATAGATGTCATAATACCATTACGCTGGGTATCGAGAGCTAACCGTCAGAATACCCGAAGAGTAATCAAGTGTATTCACTTTTACGACCTATGACTTACGAAGCCGAGTAATGACTTCATTACCCCTTACACAAACCATACATCCTTAAAGTTGAGTGTTTTGAGTAGTTTTGGTGTATTACCCCGGTGTAATGATCTCGTTACACCAAAACCACTCAAAACGCTCAACTTTAAAGATATATAGTTTATGTTCGGGTAATGAAGTCATTACCCATAACATAACTATGTATCATAGAGGTTGAGCGTTTTGAGTGGTTTTGGTGTGTTACCCCAGTGTAATGACCTCGTTACACCAAAACCACTCAAACGCTCAACTTTTATAATACATAGTCATTACACTTGGGGTAATACACCAAAACCACTCAAAACGCTCAACTTTACACATATATAGTTATCCATGTATGTAATCGATGTCATTACACTTGGCGTAATACACCAGAATTCATTCGTATACTCATTTACTTTTTGCTGTTTTGTGGTGGATACCCGGTGTAAGGGGATTATGACATCACTCGTCAGATGTCAAAATGACTGAATATGTTTCAATGAAACACACAGAAAATCTTGTTTTCTCATTATCATGATTATTATTCTGTAAACGTTTACTTAGTATGTGCTGCTTCTATGCGTCTCCACAGTTATAGAGACGTAGGATATCTTGGGCCTGGATTCGAGTATTCCGTAACTGGATTCGCTCACAGTTGGGACCAACGACTAAACTCTGCGAACCAAGATAGAACTCAACGGGCTCTATCGAATGCACTACTTACTTTTGCTCAAAAACCATCCGAAGTGACAGAAAAGCCTAGAATACTATAAGAAAACAAGCAAAAAATCAGATTTTTTTTGAGCAACGTACCACGATTCGCTCATAGGTCGGACCAAAATTTGAGAACCATACAGGCAGATAGAACTCGACGAGTTCTATCTGGTAGATACCCTTTCAAGTGTTTTAGGTACTTCGATCCTCCCCCTTGAAACCCCAATATACTCAGAAATCCTGGTTTTCTCGGAAAACCGCCCGGGATTCGCCCACACCTGAAACCAAAACATCAAAAATGACATAGGTACATAGAACTCGACGAGCTCTATCCAATGGTCATCTTTTAAGGTATTCTAAGTACTTCAATTTTCCCAAAACTCCAATATACTCGGAAATCCTGGTTATTCTCAGTCAACTGCTCAGGATTCGCCGCCAGCTGAGACCAAAACCTGAAATTTGCGTAGGTAAATAGAACTCGTTGAGTTCTATCGAATGAGCACCTTTTTTTTCTCCATTTTATACTTGAACCTCCTTCGAAAGTGCAAATCCATATCTCTATCCGAGAACCCTTCAAGTAATACTGCTTTTTCATCAAGTCTTTATAACGGGGTGTGGGTGTAGATGTTGGTTTTAATAGAAGCGTTGGACCCGCACCCACACCCACACCCGCTCCTACATCCACTCCCGCACCTACACCCACACCCTCCGAGAAAACCTAGGATTTCTCAGTATATTGGGGTTTCAAGGGGGAGGATCGAAGCACCTAAAACACTTGGAAGGGTGTCTACCAGATAGAACTCGTCGAGTTCTATCTGCCTGTACGGTTCTCAAATTTTGGTCCGACCTATGAGCGAATCGTGGTACGTTGCTCAAAAAAAATCTGGTTTTTTGCTTGTTTTCTTATAGTATTCTAGGCTTTTCTGTCACTTCGGATGGTACTGGAGCAAAAGTAAGTAGTGCATTCGATAGAGCCCGTTGAGTTCTATCTTGGTCCGCAGAGTTTAGTCGTTGGTCCCAACTGTGAGCGAATCCAGTTACGGAATACTCGAATCCAGGCCCAAGATATCCTATGTCTCTATAACTGTGGACACGCTTAGAAGCAGCACATACTAAGTAAACGTTTACAGAATAATAATCATGATAATGAGAAAACAAGATTTTCTGTGTGTTTCATTGAAACATATTCAGTCATTTTGACATCTAACATATGAAAGTCAAGTAATATACGATTCATTCTCGCTAAATGACGCGTAGATTGGGTTTTCCTGTTACAATATTGATATCTGATAAAATTATTTATATTCTCTGAAGAACTATAAATGTACATATATGTCATCCTGGTGCATACATAACATTTTCCCTGCATAGAAATATTACAAAGCAAATCCAACTATAGAGAAGCTGGCGGTAAAACTACAATGACAGTTCTATAAACGAATTGTACAATCATGATAGGTATTAGCATTTTCTTAATACAAAATTAACACTAATACCAAAGCAATAAATTATTTTTTTAACACTAATGCAAAAGTATTAAGTTAATTTTTCAACTTTAATGCAAAGGCATTAAAAATAGTATTAACTAATGCAATGCTAATGCTGAGCTACCACCCCTAATTCTTGGCCATGGTCGTTTGCAGTGGGTCATTTGAATAATGACACACAATTAGATATTGTCGTTGCAAATCGTCTCAAAAATGATATTGAAATTCTCTCAAAATTTTGTTAGATTTCATGTAGTTACGCTTCGCTTTTTATCTGATAATGACTTTTAATTGAAGTACATATATTTTACGGAACTTTTGAATTAATTTAGACTCATAGTCTACCTTAGTTTAAGGCCAAAATTTCTTTATCAATTGTACATGGAAGTATAAATTATTTAAACAAAGCAAATCATATCAATGACCGCTTAACACTTGAATCAGCTACTCTGGTTATATTCAGTGATTGCATACTAGTATATAGATTTTGAATGCATAACAGCATAATGATCAAAAGAGTTTCTATAAGCTCAAAAGGTGCATGATGACTCGTATTCATTTGAGCTAAACCAATTGTCAATAGATTTTGTCGGATTATTTTTTGCATATTGTTACTGTCACACTTCAATAAATTTTGACCGTTTGAATTAGATTCAGCGAGTTCTACAAGAATATTTATTGACAAATTTGCATCATGGTAACATACAAATTTACTTTGATGAGATTATACAATTTCATTCAGAAGTTATTCATTTACAACAAAATATTTTATTCCTGATTATTCGAAAAAAAACCATATGCTGGAAAAAAAGATTTGGGTAAAAAAAAATATTTGCAGATATAAGTAGTCTTGTCGATGGATCGATCATACCTAAAAATGGCATTGAAACAATTATAAAGTGTATTTGACAAGCGACTTTACTTACTTCACTATGTTCAATGATAACATGAAGTTCACCATGTGAGCCAAGACCCAAATGAGCAGATAACTTGACCCAATCTTCATAGCGACCTTTACTGAAGACATATTTTTTCAAATCGATCGTCCTTGAACCGATCGAATCTTGATCCGCCACATCATTATCGTATACATGTAAATGTAATTCATCTTGGCCTTTATGTAAATTGCTAAAATATAGAAGATCAAGTTCAATTGATTCGAATGAATAAAAAAAAAAGAGAAGTCCATTGACAATGTAAATATTTCATTCTATTTTGGATTGTTAGTGTCTTGGAGTGTTCTTGTTTGCTACTTGTAATCTTTGTCGACATAAACTTCGACATAAGCATCATTTTTGCCCACTGTATCTTTGTCTTTCAAATTGCGAGCTTCAAGAATTGTAACCTGCAAAAGACCGTATGGATGGCTCATTGTTCTTGATCGTTGTGTAGTCTTGAAATTGTCAGCGATTTGTGCTAGAGAATGAACATATTGGAGATTTCTTTTTTTCTTCCCTATCAAAGAATGACAAGGAAAAAAGAAAAAGAGATATATGCACTTAATTACTTCTTTCTTCATTTTTATCCATGCTAACAGGTGCACATTTTGTTGCAAAAAGAAAAGTCAATACTTTACAACAATCATGTGCTTTTTTTGAAGCATATAAGGCAACAGAATTCGATGAATATGTGTTGCGCTTACTTATTTTATCACAAATCCCATTAAGACAATATTTTTAAGAGCATACGCACTCGAAAAGTATTGAATAAGCAAACAGAATTGATGATGAATTTATGTGCAGTTAAATATAGTATATATTTATAGATTGAAGTTATCAGATGGCATCAAATGAAATTGTACGGGTGTGAGTGTCTATTCCCATGAATGAACATCCACACCCTTGCTTTCACTCTCAAGACAACAATTAGTGGATTGTTGAGACGTCTTTCGTAATTATGGATGAAACAGTGATTGCCGAGATGAAAGATTTAATTTTATCAATGTCAACATATGTATTGTTAATGAAAAATTGATCTATACGGAGCTATTACTGATAAATGATGCTTTTGAGAAAACTCTCTGCGTTCTAATGACATAAGGTTTCGTTGATACAAAAATAGTGTTTTTTTTTTCAGACGTATTTCTATATTAAAACACATTCAAAAATCGATCTGCTTGTTTACTAAAAACCTCAATGTACATTGTCACAACTCAATTTTTCTTTATTAGTTGTTGGATCAAATGCAAATTCATGGAATCCATAAAGATCAGTTATTAAAATTAGGTCCAAAATGTTATTTGAATGCATGTTCGAGAAGATGTGGATTTATTTTAGACTACTAAAAATTAATACACGATGATATTGGAAACAAAAATTAGTAATAAATTTTAGATCATATAATTAATTCGAATAAAGAATCATTAAGTTGATCAGAAGAATGAATAAAAATATTATCAAGTGAAGTTTACTCCAACATATCCAAGTCCAAACGCTAGAGCAGTATATGCGCCCTGTGCGATCATTTGAATATCTTCATTTTCAGTACACATTTTGGCAAATTCTTTTTCAGAGATGTGAATCTTGTGACCAAAATCTTTTTGTACAACATTCATAATCTCATTGAGAGAATCTTCTGCTAATTTCTGCTCATTTTTGTCGTCTTGGTGATGCATTAAGAAAATCGAAAAGAAGTTACGGATCTCAGTATGTGTAAGAAGACCATCACGATCAGAATCACATAATCGAAAAAGGCACTTCATTGATACTGCTGGATCATTCTTTGCGAGCAATCCCGTAGTCAATATGTATTCATACAAATCAATTTTGCCTAAAAAGTTACATCAAAATAAAGGTTCATTTCATCTGTCAGTAATTAAGATAATGTTTGGTATCAGTTTAATTTCAATCCGTTTATTTTAATTTTGATCATCTTCTCAAATAATTTATTTCATGTTGAACAAGAATTATTTGAACAATTCCTTAGGTATTTCTCTGCAAATTGTGGAACACTTTACTGCATGTTAATAAAATTCATTTGAACGTTAGATATTACTTTGAAAGATAAACATACGATATTATGAATATGTCTAAAGACTAATACATTCGAATGTCTTAGGACTATTTTATCTCAGTGTTGTACAGATTATTCATAGTCTATTATCGTCAAAAATAATCTAGCGAGAAAAGTCACTTATATTTTGTATTCTAAGAAAAATACTGATTGGATTAGATAATTGAACAAATTTACGTACCAGAATTATCTTGATCGATAGCTTTAAATAGAAGCTTGAAAAAATCAAGCCCATCAATCTTGTCACCGTCTGACTGTTGAATGCATGTGTCGAAGAACTCAGCCTCTGTCATACCACCACTGGGAAATTTGTCGCGCATTTCTTCTAAAAAATAAATTAGAATAGGGATTAGCAAAAAAATTTGATCAGCACTCTTATAGTGGTTATCAACACACAGATATTTAATTTTTTCAAAATTTACTACGATGAGTTACAATAGTAGATTTTAATGAAAAAAAGTGTAATAATTCACTAGTGAATATATTTCTAAAGAATTCAAGTTCTTATCGAGCAATTATCAACGTGAGGTTTAGTATTCTTCAGGTCAATATTCAATTTGCGAAACAATTATGCATATGCTGATAGAATAAATAAGCGTTGATTATTTTTCGTGCCCTAGTTTGCAGTAAACCCCCCCTCATAATAAAAGACCCCCCCATATTAGAAGACCCCCCGTTTTAGAAGACCCCTCCGGAAGAGTCACGTCATAGAAATTTCTTTTTTTCACCAGCAAAAATTTACAAAATTTACAAAAGTTCGCTGGACCATAATAGAAGACCCGGGGTCTTTTATTGTAGGGGGGGGTTTATATATATAATAGAAAGCAGAGGTCTTTTTTATGAAATAGCGATTTAAAAAAAGAGCAAATTCTTGAAACTATTTGTGAATAACTTTTGATGAAAACTAGGAAACTGTTATTGTAATCATTTCGTCAGAATAGTCAACAAAATAAAAAAAATTAAAGGATTTTTCTTTTATATACGAACCAAACATTCCACAAATCATTTCTTCTGTCATGCCTGTTGCTGATACAATACTAGCCACTTCAGCTGGGTTCAATTTGACCTTGTTATTGTTTGTCGCATTCTTAGAGGCCATTTCTCGCAATGCTGTGAATAAAAATCAGATGCTTGTTGCTTATAATGTGAGACATTATTGGAGTGAATATTTTACATGACAGGTATGATAATGTGTTGACTATTTGGTTAATTGCTGTGCCTCTATATAATTAATTAAAAGAAAAAAAAATCAGCGAGAAAATTATCATAAAGCGGTGTAGGCGAATATACTTGCTATACAAACATCTAGGGAAAAAGAGAACGATGATAACTATTGATAAATATCATACAAAACATTCAAGCGGAGTATATTTGCCATGCGAATATACATTTAACAGCAAACATGCAAAAAAAAATCAATATGGTTTACTCAACATTGTCACATGCAATATAAGATTATTTCAAGAGAGAGAAAGTGCGGATCTCGTGTGGTTGTGAATGTGAGTAGATGGCTGAACGGATATGTGGGACTCTTCTCTACACTGACGCTAACATCCATACTCACACTCTAAGAATGAATACGAGATGTCTGAGAATGGATAGAAATATTCGATTAGATTTTTCCTCACGGATTTGAATTGTAAATTAATTTTCTAATTGAAAATTCAATAAAAAAAGACGTTTAAAAAGATCATTTAAGAATATTTTTGATAGATTCTCGTGACAAATCAGTATTATATGAAATAATAAATTTATTTCTTTTTTTAACTCAATTGAATTTTTATTTATTCAAGCTCATTTATAAATTAAATACATATTATAAACATAATTATGAATTTTATTTCAATATCAACAACATATGAAACATTTCAAGTTTACTTAAAAATGAATAAATTGTAAATTTATTAATAAAATTTACTCTTATTTATTCTTATCATAATTGATGCTTTAAAAATTATTAAAAAATAATTAATGATTTTATTTTTCTTTTGTTATTAATTTTTAACCATTATTTATAATTAATACATTTTTCTAATTTAGATTATGAATATTTTAGTCTGAGAGCAGTTCGTCGTACATTAATATAAATATATTTCGACACTACCATCTACGCTATTATTTAAAAAATTTGCATTGGTTTTATATCAAACTTATGAGAGAACAACATCGATCAAGGTTTCGAAGAGTTTAGGTGAAGTCATTTTTTATTTTTTTGCTATGAGATTATAAAAAATAGCATCCACTTCTATTTTTTCACTTACTACGAGTCACTTCTATCTTTCTGTTCTTGTTATACGCTATTCGAGTGTTAAGAACTTAGTATTCACGTGCACAGTTCAGAAATATGGATGTCGCTGCCAATGAATTCGCTAAAAAAAAACTCTTATTTGTGGCAACATAAACACTTAGTCTAGTTTGGTCACTAAATAGAGGCATCAATTTAGGTATTTTTTGAGTTAAACATTTTTCAATATTAAACAAGATGTTTCAAACCTATGGATACTAATTAGTAGCTAATAAATTGAAGCCTTATGCTAATAAAATTTTTGCTTAGCGCGGCGCTAGAATTGGTCATTTTTGGACTGAGGTCAAAGTATTTTTATTGACAGCAACGAAACAACGACTGAAGGTTTTCAAAGACACTTTTCGAGCGTATTAGTTGAAGAATAACTATCGAAATGGTATGAAACGTACAGAATAAAGATTGAACATGTTTACAAAAAAAACTAGACTTTAGAAGACAAAATATGCAATACTTTAACAGTGAACATTTCCGCGAATTGAAATGACGCGAAAATTTTTTCCAAAACTTTGACTGCCAATATTAATAATTCGTCAAACATGATCGTATCAACAATAAGTTCTGTAAATGGATGAACAAATTTTTGGAATCAATATTTCTTTCTTATTATAGAACAGCTCAATAATATTTGTTCATAAATTTTATGTATGAAGAAAATGTAAATTAAAAATATTTCAATGCTTTCCTAAAAAAGCATATTTTCTTCTTAAATTGAATTCACAGTAAAAATAATATTTAGAGTGTTTTTTTTTCTTTTCAGTTAGCTGCACGTGAATGAATTCCAAGTTGTGGAAGAATAAGAAACAACATGTTGATAAGTAAGTATTAGATTAAGGTAATAAACTACAATTAAAGATTATTGTATTCAATTTATTTCATGAATGTGTTGCTGTTCATGTATTTTTTCAAAAACTAAAAATAATTTAAACCAAGAATTTCTAAATTTGATTTAGTTTAATAAAAGCTTGAAACTAATAGTAGATAAAAGTATGAGAACAGAAAATGAAAATGAAGATGTCAAAGTAGAATAATCAATATACTTCAAGTCATTAACGTTAAGATGACTTCAACACTTTTATACAGACAAAATGATCGATTATAAGTAATACTTATTCAAGACATAAGAGTAACGGAATTGAGTTTTAAAAACAAAAAATCATATATTAATAAAATAATTTATTTTCAGAATTATCAATTGAATTAAAGGCTATTTTTTTCTTTCTATTATCTTTTATATCAAATAATAGTATTTTCTAGTTCGAAATAAAAATTGAAATCAGATGTACAAAATATGTTTTTCAATTATGTCTATAATTAATATTGCCTGATTTTCTTTTTTCAGCAAACGTGTTTCTATTTTCATTTTCGCCAAGTAAATGTACTTACAGTTTTTTTTTTATTCTATTGTATAAAAACTTAAAAAATGACTTAGATATCTTTCTGAAATCAAATCATAAAAATACACATGATAAAATCATATGTTTATTAATTATCAGAACCAAAAGATAATTGGAACAGTATAGAAACCGATAATCTCTTAATACATCACTTTTCCCCCAGGACTATTCTATCACGATAGTTGTAAGCAGTTGCATAGAGTCGTGTATATGAAAAACTTCAAGAAATATACATGGTGGTATGTGACGCACTATATTATCGTATTCATTTATGTTTCTTTTCACTAAACATGGATACGTTACCCTCTCCATAAATACATAAGTTTTATTTATTTTTTTTTTAATTTGAAAAAGAAGACCTACTACTTAATCTGTTGTTCGAATTATTTTAAATAAAAAACAATGATTTATTTAACAAAAATACTTTGTATTATGTTTGTTGTTGAATTCAAAATAGAAAAGCAAAATGCTCGATAAAAACAATTCGACTCATTACCAATTTATGACCAAATTCGATCATCTACTACAGTCGTATACGATAGTTGCTTATATTCATGGTGTATGATGGTCTTATTAACGACCAGTTTTTGACATATTGAGTAGTATTGCGAGCGTTCATGATCGTGTTTTTTTTTGCACCTGGATAATCTAAAATTCATTCAATTGATTGCTTTATGTATTTAAATTCAACCTGACTGAGTTCTCTTAATGACGTGGTTATCGTGAGGACTATTGTTTTTTTCAAAGATCCTCCATGGAAAAGTTTTCTTTTCTCATCACTATGGATCATTTTTAAACTAAATTTGAAAAACAAGAATGAATCATATTCAATTAGGTTTCATCGTTATAATAAATAGTCTAGGCATCATGCTTTTTTTTCTTTTACAGTAAAATAATCAATTCATATTATGAATCAACGAGCATAAAAATTACTTGAACTTTCATCTAATACATCTATCGATATATCCTTGAAAAATAAAAAAAAAAAATGGCAAGGCTCGTTTTATTATGCATATATGATTCTATTCGAAACCCATGGTATATTGAAAATCTATAAAGACCATTTACAATTTCTACATGAATAATCTCCATGTATTTATTTAATAATTATATGTTTGATCAAAAGAAAAATGCATAAATTATTAGTATTCAACTGTAAATATACAATGAGAAAGAGTATATATAAATAGTCACAAATCGTACGAATCGAATACATTTAAAACTTGATCGACGTGAATTATATATCTGAACTTCAAATTTATAGAATATCATTTTTGGCAATATGCAGACGAAGACATTGGTTATACTTGGTTTTTTGTTTATTATTGTTATGTTATCATCATGTGAAGGCAAACGTTTATATTTTGATAATGATGATGATATGACATTAACTGAAGCTAAAGCTCGTATGTTTTTAGAAAATGATGATAGTGATGATTTTGATAAACGAGCAAATAGTGGCGATTGTGTCTTATGCAAATTTAACGCGGTTCCATGCTGTAAACCAAATATATGTCACAGAAAACGCTTTCGACCAGATGAATGCATCGAAATCAAAGGCAAATAAATGACAAATATATTCATATTAATATTATAATGTACTTTTATCTCTCATTTAAAA